ACTAATTTAGGCTGCAGGTATGATGTAATATGTAGAATGTGAGATGTAAGGAGTGTAGATGTATGTAAATGGGTGTATATGTAAATGGGTGTACTGTACTGAGGTGTACACCACGGGCCAGTTTGTGAACTGGCCGATCCGCTGGACGCTTTCCTGAGGAGAGCGTCCAGCGATCCAATCAGAGCGTCCGAGGGACGCTCTGGCGAGCCTTGCATCACTTGGATGCTTCCAAAAGCATCTAGGTGACACTGGCCAAATATGAAGCGTCCGATGGACGCTATGATCTATTGTCCATCGGACACTCTCCAACCGAGAGTGTCCGATGGATGACGGTTTTCAGTGTGTCCATTGGACAATTTGAGTTACAATTCCTGATTGGAGCCGGTGGTCGATGGTCAAAAAAAGCTTCAAAAGTTTGGTCATTGGTCTAAAAACACTCTGAAAATGCAGTTGATGGTCGAACTACACTCCAAAAGTGTGGTCAATCGTCGAAAAATGCTCCAAAAGTGCAGGTGCAGTGATTGTCAAAAAAAGCTCCAAAAATGCACTTGATCATCAAAATAGGTGTGAAATGGCTTGCTCCAAAGTGCGAATTTGGTCTATATATGTGGATTCGGTGACTTCTGGGAGAACAATTCTGAATAGTGCAGCTGGCAAGGAGAAGCGTTGTGGGTGTGCAATGTTACAGCCATGATGTCTTGGGTTCAACTCTGAACCTCCTCACTTCTTTCTTTATTTTCACTGCAATCAAAATCATCCATTGGACGGCTTGAAAACTATCCAGTGGACAGTTTTCCAGAAACCGTCCGCAAACTGTCAGGCAGAGTAGTGTCCAATGGACACTCTCTGCCCTGAAAGTTCTGGACAGCTCAGATGATGTCCAGAAGAGTGTCCATGGGACATCAGAATGGTCTCATGGTGTATGTGTAGCTTGAAGGTTGTAATTGGGATTGGTGACATGTAATGATGGGTGAAATCCTTATGATATGTTGTCCATTGTTGGGTAAGAGTTGATCCAGGTGTGTTCCAGTGACGCCTCCGTGGTGACCAAGGGTGAATTTGTCCGTAGAGTCCAGTTCTTGAGCCGTATGGTGTGATTTCTGAGAGAGATTGGGTGATAATATGAAGAAAATATATATAAGAAAAAAAGAAAGAAAAAAATTGAATTTTCCCAGTTGGGAGCGCTCAGAATGGTTGATTTTGGGTGCTGGGTGATCACTGGGGAGTTTCTTGAGGAATCTTGAGGCTTAATAACAGCAAAAATAGTAGTAACTAGGCTAATTACAAGTGTAGTGGACTTGTAAATGGTAAGTATGTTTCTATATGGTATTGTAAAGCTGGGGGATCATTATTTGTGCGGTCAGAAGGCCCTTTAAGTACCTGTGGAAGGCCTCAGGGGCTGCCCAGGGGAGCTTAGTAGGACTTGGGGGTGCTTTTTGGCCCATTTTGGCCCACATGGTGATGTAACCAGGGCTGGAACCTTGGGGATAATATTCCAAAAGCTCCAAGGGGCCATGCCCAAAATTATTACAGCCAAGAATGTCCCATGGGGACCTGTGGATAGGGGCTACTCTGTTACGTGGAGCAGGTTCCTTGGAAATGGGCCAGAGAATATTCCAGAGGTGTCTTCTGAGGCTTGCTACACGTGTTACCCATTGGAATATGGTTACTGTAGTATTTTCATGGATATTCTAGCTTGTTTACATTCTTATTACACGTTTGGGGGCTTTGTTGTCACGTGCAATGGGGATTCTGGGGCTTTTGTGGCCCAATCCTTGGATACTGGTGCGCAGCATGACTACGTGGCGCGTGGGCTGGGAGACAGGACTCCACACTGCTCTATCTTCTAAAACGTGCACAATAATCCAATTCTGAGACTGGATTTGGAGTATATGCATTATCATTATGCAGAAGAGTCACAGTACCCGTGATCTGGGGGTACCTGTTAATTATTCCTGTGTGTATTACAGGGTGTAGGAGTTAGAATTTGGGGTACCTTTGGCTGAGGTACCCTAGGTTAAATTGTATTCTGATTCAGAATCTGCAATAATATTTAAGGTTTTGTTTATACTTTTTAAGTTATTCATTTATTTTTATGTATTTTTTATCTTATTTACATAAGTACTATTGTTTCTTTTACTTATGTAATATTTTTACTTTATAATTAGATTTTCTTATGTAATTTATTATTTTATTTGCTATGACAGGTTTTCTCTGCCATAGTAGCAAGCTGACAGGTTCTTTCATGTTCAATGAGGCCACGGGTATGGTAACATCAATTGAATTTTCTGTATCAGCAATGGTGGCTTCCGTATGATTTGTTTCTGGCTCTGTATAATCCTTTTCTATTTCCGTATAATCCTTTGCTATTTCCGTATAATCCATCGCTGGCTCTGTATGATCTGTTGCTAGTTTTGTGTAATATGTTGCTGGCTCCGTGTAATCCGTCGCTAGTTCCGTATGATCCATCGCTAGTTCCGTATAATCCGTTGCTGGCTCTGTATGATCCTTCACTCGTTCCGTATAATCCGTTGCTAGTTCCGTATAATCTTTTGCTGGCTCCGTGTAATCCGTCGCTAGTTCTGTATAATCCATTTGTGGCTCCAATTGGGACAAAGGATGGGGAGTGTTGCATATGACAGGTGATTGTGAATCTTGAAGTTGTTGTTTGAGTGACTCAATTTCCTTGGCTAATTCTTCTAATTTGGTTTCCATCCCAGCTGCCTCCGTAAGGTGTTCCCAAAGAGGGGGTAACCTGGATCCATTGGGTGCTTGTTGAAGTTGACCATTTTGATTTAAATTCCGTTTGATATTTCTCTGGAGTTCTTGAGGAAAGGCACTGATGAAAAGAACTAAGGCATCCTGTCTACTTCTCAATTGTTTCTGGATGAGGAGGAAATCAAGGATCTCGGAAAATTTTTGAAGGTACGTCTGGAATGCTTGGTAGCAACTGTTTTGTTATCTCTAGAAAATTCTTCAGAAAGGTTGACTAGGTCAGTTGTTGCATACCAAATTTCATATTTGTCACCCCATAATTCAATCATTGAGGCTCGTAGAGTATCCCAGTCACATTCCTCATATCCGTCCATGGACTCGATTTGACACTTCAGTTCCTTGGTTTGCACAAACCGTCCAATCTGTAGGGCTCAATCATAATTGGTTGAATTAAGTGAATCCGCCGTCATCTCGTATTGCCTCAAGAATTGCATGAAATGGTGTCTGTTGTAGAAAAGTCCAGGTTGTTCAATTAAAACTGGTTTTTTTTGGTTAGTTGGTTGTTGATAAATCGGTTACTGTTGTTTGGGTTGTTGATAGATTGGTTTGTCCATATCTAGGGTCTTGTCAATTCCAGTTCTGAATATAGGCAGATTTCCCGTCTTCTTGTCCTTCATCCAAGGTGGTGATAGCATTGATGATGAAATTGGAGTTTTTGTATTCCGGTTTAAATTTGAAGTTGGCGCAAAAAGTCGTTTCCTATAATTGGTTTGTGGAGCAAATAATTCTTCCATATATGATACACCAAAAATTAGATCCATGTTGATTTTGATTGATTTTCCTAGTTTTCCTTACTTGACACTCCTTTTATACCTAAACAAACGGTGCGGTAAGCCAATCTTGAATAAGAGGCCCACAATATCAAAGCCTCAAGCACAATATCAAGCCCTCTGGACGACAGGACCCTCAAGGACCAAGGCAAGCCCCTTCTGGAACATTCAACCAACCTGCAACACCATGGATGTCACAAGACCAAGCCCCCTGGACAGAAGACACTCTGGATTCTCATTTCATTTCATTATTACACAATCATCTCATGCAGTCTTACATCATCAATCCCCATTCAGCCTTCCACACTTGGCCCCTGCATGTGTTTCACTCTATTCCACTTTCACTCTAGCCTCATTTCCACTTTGGGCCACATTCTATGGTTTCACACTATTCCTCTTGGTTTATTTTCATGTCTCACACTAGTACACATCTGGCTAGTTCATTTATCTCTTTGGTATATTCTTCCTCCCTCATTGGGTGTGGCACATTTCATCCCTGCATGTCTCTGATGTCATTTCCTCCATTCATCTTAGTGCCTACCAATTGGGCCACATTGTTTCAGTTTGATAATTTTCTCTTGTTCCATTTTGTTCCATGGTGTTTCCAACCACAAGCTGGCCACTCCCCAGATTTTGTACATAATGAGCCTTGTTTTCCCCTCTTCATTTGTTTCCCATCAGATCCTGCCCCAGCAATCCAGATAACTGATCACCCTTCATTAGCCTAGTAGTTGCCCATCAACATTTGGGATACTAGTATTATTCAGACAGAAGACCAGAAGACAGAAGACACACCCATCTCAATAATACTCCAAAGCCACACCTTTCCTTAAGAGTCCACACCCTTATCTTTTTCTTGTTATCTTACTCAACCCAGTTCACAGAGAGGCAGCCCATTAAAGCAACATTCCCTCCCCAGCTCTATTCATCCCAAAGAGTAGTTCCACAACGGTTGCTCTGAAAAAGAAAAAAATAAAGCTTTGGTCGCTGGTTTCTTTACCAGGGCAAGCTTATGGCTTTCTTTTAAATAATTGATCAGTTAAATACTGGAAATTTCTTCTTTTACATAATCTACTTATCCAAATCCTTTGGGTACCTTTGCCCTTCTTTTGGTCTATAAGCAGCTGCTTTTTTCAAATATTTCCTGAGTTGTCGTAGAACAGTATCCTAGTTATCCAGATCCTTTGATAATCTTCCTTCTGCTGGTTAATAACAGGCTTTCATCTTCGAGTCCTCGTTTCAGTTGATTCCTACACTTTCTTTTCAGAGGTTGGCTGTTGGTGTCGTTGAATTGTTTATTGAAGTCTGACTAGTCGATCAATAGAATAACTGAATATGCCATTGAGTAGTCGCAGATATGGTTGATAAATTTGATCCGGTTCCCGCTAAAGTTTGTGATCCTTCGGCAATTCCTTCTTGTTAGTTGTTGAAATTTGATTACTTGATGTAGATCACACAATTTTATCCTATCACGTTGGGGACTCCCTTGTAAGACTCAAAAAGTGGTTGTAAGACCCTTTTGCTGAATGGAGAAGGGGATGGTGGAGGTGCAAGCTCTGCCCTTCTATACTATCAGATAACAAGACCCACCAAGCTCAGCTTGGCAAGTTTTCCACAAGTGATAGGGTAAGTTCAGGAATGAGTTTGTGTGATGCTGAGAAATGAGTTTAGTTGTTATTGGTGTCTGGTAAGGTTCTGTAAAGGTGGTGTATCTTTGATTGGGTGGTACCAAACTATGACTGATGAATAATACACTGAGGAGACAACAACTGGGAGGAGAGCCTCCTTATATAGAAAATAGTGAGGGAATTTAGCTCCAGGGCAGCCAGTAATGAGTGATTTTGGCTGGCCTGGGCTATTATATGAGGGATTTTAGCTACATAGATGAGTTGAATGAGTGAACGTGATTGGTCAGAGAGGTACAAGAGTTGAAGTGGTGAGCCAAACAGTTGAAAGAATGATTCTCATTGGTCAGGTTATGTGGTGTTTACAAGTGAATGTGGTGCTGTAAGCTGCAGCTGTAATGCAAGGAAAATACACTAATTTAGGCTGCAGGTATGATGTAATATTTAGAAGTGAAATGTAAGGAGTGTAGATGTATGTAAATGAGTGTTTATGTAAATGGGGTTGTACTATACTGAGGGTGTATGTTTAGCTTGAAGGTTGTAATTGGGATTGGTGACATGTAATGATGGGTGAAATCCTTATGATATGTTGTCCATTGTTGGGTAAGAGTTGATTCAGGTGTGTTCCAGTGACGCCTCCATGGTGACCAAGGGTGAATTTGTCCGTAGAGTCCAGTTCTTGAGCGGTATGGTGTGATTTCTGAGAGAGATTGGGTGATAATATGAAGAAAATATATATAAGAAAAAAAGAAAGACAAAACTTTGAATTTTCCACATTTCTGACTACCACAGCGTACAGCAGCTGAAGTATCCAATAAATCAACGACCAGTTTTCCTGTTCCAGCATCCCAACCAATACCAGACCCGAGTCCTCCTAGTCCTTGCAATTATGATGATCCCAACGACCAAGTCAATACAATGCAAGATGACAACGTTTGGAACGATATACCAGACAAACTGAGACCAGAAGATGTTGAATCTCTCAAACAAATACAATCTCATCACCAAGCGCTTATTGAGCAGCAGAAACTGAGAAACTGGAATGACTTAATGGAATTGATGTTTCCTGCCTACCTTCAAAAAAGAAAACTCAAAACTGGATGAACTCTGACTTTTTCAAAGACTTATCAAAAGATTTGTGCAAATGTGAATCACATCAAATGAAATCAAGGGAGGTTGACCTGATTGATCTGATATGTTTGTGCTTTCCTCTTGGATCCAGTTATTCCATCTCTATTTATCTAACAATACATTGTGCCTTTTAGGCCAGAAGCAAATCAAGATGCCTTTTTGCACCTGCATCCCAGACCCAATACACTTCCTGGCCCATGGGTATCTTCCAAGCACCCCTCTTTTTCCGCAGACAGGATTGTCCCTTCGGCTATTGAACTTTTACGATTTACTATGGAACATATGTAATGCCAATCTCACCACTTTTAGCGAAGTTCTACGACGTTGGAATGAATCAATTTCTGTCAGGCTGTGTATCAAAGAGACCAACAAGGTACAGTTATCTATTTTAATGTGACATTCTTTGGCATTCTTTACTTACTGATCTTCACAACAACACTCTGATGTTTTGCTTAGCCTCGTGATCTCCGGAGATGTCTCTCAGGTTCAGTTGACGCTTATTGGCATCTGAAGAGATTAGAGCAAGATTTAATCCATACGGCAACCTCTCTTACTCCTCAAGATGTATTGGCCCAACAATTGTGTCCAGCATGTTTTGGAACCTCGGCTCCTGCTCTTGATGAATCACAACCGAAAGACACCAACCAAATTTTTGTCTGCCTTGATGGGAATTTTCAACACCAGCATCACAAGAGGGCCTCAAAAAACCACTTGCCACTTCATACACCACATCTATTCATCCCTCCTGAAGAAATCAAAGCAACCAATGATGAAATATTAACACAAATACATGAGCAAGCTCAGAAAAAGACTCAAAAAGCAGTATGTGCCCCTTTTACCTGCAATTATTCAAACACTCACCTGACATGTGTTGGAATTACATTCTGCTTTCTCCGCTCTCTTCTCTCCCGCTCCCGCTCTCTCTCTCTCCTTGCTCTGCTCTCTCGTCTCTTCCGCTCCCGCTCTTCTTTCTATCTAAAAACCTAACCTCAACCACAACTCAAACAACTTCATCAAACACATAAAAAGCTCAAATTGCTCTCCCACGACACACAACGGCTGTCTTCTCTCAGCAGCACACTTTCCCTCACTCACTTCCAACCAACCGCCACCACTCCCTTTGATCACTATCCACGTGCTGCCCCGTCAAAACTCTCCGCCAACATTCTCCAACTAACTTGACTCTCATACCCTCGACTTTCCCTTCCTATCCGACTCCGTATCATCCCTTCCTTTCTCTTGTTTCTCTTATCTCTATTCTCTCTGATTCTACACTCTCACCGATCTCAACACTGTCTCGACTACCATCTCAAGGCTTCCAAATACCTTCTGATAGCTCCTGCTTCAACTTTAGACCTTCTCAATTGGTTATGACCAATTTGGTGAGAAAATCAATTGACTCAACTTTCTCTATCTCATCACTCAAACACACCATACTCACCTTCTATCATTCTTTCATATGATTTCTAGTGTCTACTACATTTCTATATTTGATCTTCTCTACTTCAGCTTGTCTTCTCTTTATCAGATTAATAATCCTTGTGGTATGCTTTCTCACTTTGAATTCTCTTTTTCATCAGATTTTTTTCTGTTCATGACGGTGTCATCTAATTTTCTCATTGTTTTATGTTTGAAGTTCTGGTTCTGTTTTCAGTAATCTATCCTGTTTACAACATGAAGGTTTGTATTATCAGAAAGACCAATGTAGTGAGCAGCATAAGGTTGCAGATGATTGCTGCAATGCAAGCACCTGGAAAGGATGTGATGACACCGGCTTGTTTGGCTGCTGTTTCCGGCACAATTCTGTCATCTACTTCTGCAACATCTACAAATCCAGGGAGGGACGTGGACTCCCTATGTCAATAATCAAGCGACTGTTAGGCCAACTCAACTCAATGGCCCAAATAGGTATTCTATATGATATCGGATGTACCCTTGGAAAAAATTTTCAATCCCAGAAGCTGCTAACCAAACAACTCCCAAGGATGAAGTTTGCTACTGCAGTGTTTCACTCTTATGTTCACGACTGGCCCTGTCAGCTTCAATTCAACCCGAGATACAACAAAGGATGGGGATTAACTGATGGCAAAGGTTTAGAATGACTTTGGTCCTATCTCTCTCCCCTTGTTGGTCCTCAGCAATAAGCAACGCGGAATCATCGCCTTGGCGGGATAAATCACAGGAGTGTTTTTCACAATTACCTTGGAATTGAGAAGCTTTGTATGTGTGGCTTTTCTCAATGATAATTTTGCTTTGCTTTGCCTCAACTTCTCTCCTCTCTGATTATGTAGTTTTGACTTTGAAGAGGAAGACTCAGCACGCATTCAGACGTCAAAAAGAAGCACAACCCAAGCTGGATGAGCTTCTGCACCAGCCAAACCCACATGTTCATGTGTCAGCCTACGTGATGCCAAGGAGTATCCCTTCTAGCTACACGTGGTGCAAAGACTTAAGATGTTAGAGTTTGAACTCTGGGACTAAAGAGTCCGGTGTGTAATTCCAACAATGAGTGGTAATTACAAGGTTATGAGATAGTAGAAATGAATAATTATATCAATAAATGTTGATATAATTTAAACAGAGGGGCCTGATAAATCAGGGGTGGTTTAGTTCCCTCAAAGGTATCGTGCAAAAGCAGAGGATTTAGGTACCTGTTAACACTGGGGCCTGTTTAACAGGGGTGGTTTAAATCCCAGAAGAAAGTAGTAAGAATCTCAAGAAAGAAGGGGGCATTATGTACTAATAAAGCCCCTTAAGTCTTGAGGTTCTGATAGACAGAGAATTAAAGCAAGAGACAATACATTACCAGACAGATACAAATGTTAAGCATTTGGGATGGTGGGTAATCTAAAGTGGGTTGTAATTATCTGAGGAATCTGATTTTGGGGGGAAAGAGGGCTCTTTATATACCCGTGGAGGCATCTGGGAGATCAGGTTCAACTTGTGGGTGCTTCATGCATGGAGGCTGAAACATGTGACCATATCCTTGGAAATGTGCCACAGGTGTTCTGTGGAAGATGAAAGCTGAAACATCTGGCTATTTCCTTGGAAATGTGCCACACGCGTGTTATCAATATACAAATGTATGTTTGAAACAACAAATCAGTTTCAAGTCTTAAACCTGTTTATTAGCATATTTGATTATAAACATAAGCATATTTCATTTCCTTCTGGGAGGTACACTCTATATCTTTGATGTAGATTTGCCGCATGAAGTAGTTGAAATATAGGGTACCTTTGAGTGAAGGGTACCTTCGAGTGAAGGGTACCTTCGAGTGAAGGGTACCTTTGAGTGAGGTACCCTAGTTTATTCTTCATATAGATTAAGAATATTGAGAAAAAATGCTCTTATTATTTGATATTCTCATTTATTTCCAGCACTATTTATAATAATATCTTTTTGTATTTTCTACAGTGTTTGTGTACTATGACAGGTTGTCTCTGCTATAGTAGCAAGCTGACATCATGGGACATGCTTCACCAAAGTTTTGTTTTGAGATCAATGGGAATCTCAGCGGGCATTCCATCAATGGTGGGCCAGCTACGCTAACCGTAGCGTTGGCCTAGCGTAGTGTAGCAAAAAATCGCTACACTTTAGCGTAGCATTAGCGTTTTTTTCATTTTTTGCGCTAACGCTACGCGAATGGGGTGAAAACGTGTGCTAACGTTTAGCGTAGCGTTAGCGCAATTCCCCCCATCTGCGCTAACGCTACACGCACAGGCTGCCAAAAACTGCCCGCTACGCTGCGTTACAGCGATTTTTAGCGGGTTTTGGGCGTTTTTTGCCGCTAAAAACGCTGTAGCGTAGCGTAACGCAGCGTAGCGGCGCCAGCGGCGCGCTAACACTACACCAAAAAATGGCTGGTGTTAGCGCCGCTACAAATTAGCTTAGCGCAGCGGCCGTAGCGACGCGCTAACACTACACGAAAAAAAAAAATTGGCGCCGCTACGCTAACGCTACATGGGCCCGTAGCGTAGTGTAGCGTAGCGGCCCACCGCTGATTCCATGCCAATCAAAACCTAGAAGAGCTTGCTCAACAAGAGGCTCAAGCTCAGTTGTTTGAACGAGGTGAAACAATGAAGGTGCTCATGTATGTGATTAGCTTATCTTTTCAGAGGTGATATCTTGATTTTCTAACCCATTTGAAATAACTATGGGTTCGAAGCAAAATGCTTGTCTCATCATTACAGACAGGCTCTCATGTTGACCCCATGATGTGAATCAATCAACTGTGTGAGATCCAAAAATTACAGGCTGAGCAGGATGAGGATGCCTTTAAACTAGAGGCCCACTTTAGTGCTGCTGAGCCAGAAAACAGTAAGTCAAACACAACAAGTTGTCAATTGACCTTATATACTAATGATAATACTGAGGTTGAGTGTTTGAGAGGAGGAGCAGCGGAGGCTTGGTGTAAGGACTCTGTTAGTCCTTCACTGAATGAAGGGGAAAGGGCGCGGAGACGGCTAATGAGCCAAAGATTCTAAGACCAAACTGGGGGTGGGTTTGTATTTCTGGCTCAGAGAGAGTGCGGGGTCAGTTCTCTACGATACACTTTAGAAATGAAGAGAAAACAAAGAGAATGGAATGAAAAGAAATCAAAGGCTCACCTGGCTCAGAGAGAGTGCGGGGTCAGTTCTCTGCTGAGCCAGGAAGAGAAAGGAGAGCTAGAAGTAAGATAGCGACAAGAAGACATGTACATGACACCCTTGTGAAACCCAACATGGGAGGGGTTTTACAGTCTCCCCTCCTATAAAAAAAATTGAAGAAAGGAAAAGAAGAAAGAAAAGGAAGGAAGGAGAAAAAAAAAGGAAGAAAATTGGAGAGTAAAGAAATCCCTGAAGATGTGGATCCTTAGCAACCCGCAATGTCGTCAGCCAAGTTGCCCGTCCAACTGTTGGAAGCTTGAGTAGCCTGTTCAATTTCATTTTGTAAGAGCTGGTTGTCGAGATCCTCTAGTGCAGCTACCGCTGCTGTCCCCAGGGCTGGGAAACAACCCTCGTCGTCGAATTCATGGTCCATAAGGGAATCTTGTCTGATTGCCGCGTCAATCGTCAAACCGGCAACATGAGCCTCAAGCGGAGTTATCTCTGCGACACCCGCTACACTTGCTGCTCGAGCTGGGGGTCGGCCGGCTGGAGGCTGAGAGGATCATCCGGGGCCGGTGGTAGGTTTGCTCCAGGCTCGGGGGGCCACATAATTGAGAGGCTTAGTCGGGGTTTGGAAGTCATTGGGAATGTTGATGTGTGAACGGTCAATTGGCCCGGGACAGGCCCCAGCGGCATTGCCGCAGTGTCTCTTGCAGAAATGACAAAGACCTTGTGAGTCCAGGAAGGCTTGGACCCGCCATATGAATTCGTCACGGCCGAGAGTCGGTGGGGCGCTAGGCGTTGCCTTGGTTACCGGTGCTGGGCCCATGGGTCTTTGCAGCGCGAGGAACGAAGCGTTGGATTGCTTCTCGAACTGGCCATACATGAAGGGAGATGTCTCTAGGAGTTGACGTTCATGAATCCTGTCTTGAAGGGCGTCAGATAAGCCGTATACAACGAATTCAGCTAGTTGAAGATCTCCGAGTTGGGATAGTTTCTTGGCGTCGAAATTGAATAAGCTCTGAAGGGTGCGAGCTCGTGTGCTGTATTCTAAGAAGGTCTCGGTTTGCGACATCTCTAGTTTACGGATTTGTCGCTGGAGTCCAGAACACCAATTATTAGGGAGGGCGAAGTCGAACATGCGAGCTTTGAATTCCTCCCAGGACTTGTTGAGAAAGCTCGCCGCTTTGTTTGCCTAGAAAGACTGAAGGTTCGTTTCCGCTACTAGGTTTCCGAGTATTTTGATCTTATCGGCTGCGTTGCTGACGCTCTTTGTTTCGAAGAAAATTTGTACGCCGTGAATCCAACGTAAGAAAGGTTCGGTTTCTTGAAACGGTCCACGAAAGGTTGGGCCGTCGGAGGTGCGAAACTTCTGTAGGTCAACCCGACCTGGCGCTGGTTGTTCGGTTCGGGAATTGACCTCGTTTTTGATGTTCATAGCGAGGAGTAAGTCCTCCAATCGTCGGATGCGGTCCGAGCTTGCTTGATGAGCCGCGAGAATTATCTGACGATCCGCACGGCGATCTTCTAACGCTTGTCGGCGATCTTCCTGGGCCTGTGTTATCGCTGTGTGTTGGATCTTGAGCACGGCTTTAAACCACTCTTTGGCCGTGCTCATATTGTATGCATCGGCAGTGCGGTTGGATTCGCGGGTGGAATTGCCGGCCGGTTGTTCTTGGCCTCCAGGTGGGGGAGCCGATTCTGACATGGTTTCAGATGACGTAGTTGGTGCAGAGGGAACCGGAGCAATAGATTGGGCAGAAGCCCGTTTGATGTGTCTCTTTTCGGTGTTGCCGGCTTTGAGTATTGCCTCAGGGTCTGTCAAGGGGTGTACGTTGTTGGTGGTGGCGTTTGTCCTCGTTATCATGAACCGGGTGAATTGTGAAGGAAGGAAAAAGAAACAGTTTGGTCGGTGGAGGAGGAAAAATAGAGCAAGGCAGTCTTCGAAACAGTAATCGGAGCGGAGCAGTCGGATCAAAACGGAACAGTACAGTCGGTTGGTCGGAGCGGAACGGGGTAATCAGTCGGAACGGATCAGTAGTCAATTGGAATAGTCAATTTTGAATTGGATTTGCGATCGAAACAGTCGAAGTTGAGTCGGGTTTGTTTGGTGTGAGAAAAAAAAAGTGTAAGGACTCTGTTAGTCCTTCACTGAATGAAGGGGAAAGGGCGCGGAGACGGCTAATGAGCCAAAGATTCTAAGACCAAACTGGGGGTGGGTTTGTATTTCTGGCTCAGAGAGAGTGCGGGGTCAGTTCTCTCTGATACACTTTAGAAATGAAGAGAAAACAAAGACAATGGAATGAAAAGAAATCAAAGGCTCACCTGGCTCAGAGAGAGTGCGGGGTCAGTTCTCTGTTGAGCCAGGAAGAGAAAGGAGAGCTAGAAGTAAGATAGCGACAAGAAGACATGTACATGACAGCCTTGTGAAACCCAACATGGGAGGGGTTTTACACTTGGTCTGCTTTGGAGTGCAAAATCAGCACTCTACAAAGCTGCTGTGGAAATACAGGGTGAAACACAACCTTTGCACAATTCAAAGTCCTAAAGCAATCAACTTGGTACCGTTTTGAAAGAGAATATTTTTGAAGCCCTCAATTGCCGTAAAAAAACAGTAATTCCTGTTCTCAACACCTTCCTTGCCCGGCGTACCGACTACCTGAAGAACCATTGCCCCAAACAACTCAATCTGCCTGAAAATGCAGCAATCAATTATAATCAATTCAAGAAAATAGCGCTTGAAGACCTTTTCTGGAATGATGGCTACTTGTGCCATTCCAAGGAGCCATGGGCCATTGATCCTCATGTGAGATCTGGCATACATTCTGTCCTTGCCTTGGATCGATCGAAAGAAGAACTTGATCAATTGAATATTGAAATACAAAGGACTGTCTCATGGGGAATTTCTCACAGAGAACAAGTTAAATCATGCATGGATCAGTGCATTCAAGGTATGTTTTTTATTTAATGCCAGTACACCTAAATTTAATGAGAATAATTTAACTGACACATAAACCCCTCTGCAGGCCCCTTAAGTGTTAAACTCAGAAAAACCCTCAATGATGTGTTTGGTGAAGAAGGACCCGGTGCAACAAGATTGCTGGCTGGCCAGATGTAAATGTACCAGAAGCAGCATGAAGAACTGCTCAGTGCATGGCAAATCACAATCAATCAGATGCTCTCAGAGGGACTACTAATTTGCACAGTCTTACCAGACCGGTGGTTTGCCTTGATTGAATTCCTTGAATCAGATATATATAATGAGGTCAACAATTTAGGTGCGGCGGACTTCATTTTAGAGGAATTGGTGCTTGATGAACAAGATTCAGATGTTGAATCAGTTGGAGATTCCCACACCGATCACTTATTACCTGTTGATGAGGACGACGAAGAGCCTTAAATATTTCCGCTGCACTTGTTTTATTTTGTCTTGCTTCCATGACTACTAGTTTTAATGTTTGTTACTTTTCATTGTTCTATGTATGTATGTTATAATCACAATGCGTGAATCATTAATTCACATTTTACATCTTAAACATGGGTCCAATCAGGAAGAACAACTCAGAGAATAGTGCCACAGGAGTTGGGGGGCTTAATTATGAGGGGAATTAAAGGTCTCGGCGGGGACACGAGGTATGGAGCCAGACATCCGTGACAAGTTTTTGGTGTTGGATATGCATTTATGTATGATTTGGGTTGGTCGGAGGATTGTGTTTGCTACAGGAAATGTGGTTTTCATTATGTATACATTCAAGTACTGTAGTCTGGTGGTCAGTAAGTCTTACCAAGTGTTTTGATTTGGAGTGCCCCGGTGTGGGCCTCTCTGGTTCGAGGGCCACACTCTGGAAATATCTCTGAGGGGTGGGAGGTTGCGGGATTGCGGGATTGGGATTGGGAGCGGGATTCACGGCTTTTGCACTGTTGGAGTGCATTTGCATGCATATCTTACTGCACTTCTACAGTGCAAGGGGTGTAGCTCCACAGGTCCTCACCCCTCAACCTTGAAAATCTTTGAAAATCCTTCTCTCAACCTTAAAACTCACTCCCACACCCCTCTTTTCATATTGTATACAGATAAAATTTGTATATGGTACAAATTGTTCAAGAAACAGGGTAATCTCATATAGTAAGAGGTCTCTGGATATCCGTTATCCGCTGGCGGATACCCGCCCGCTGTAGTGGATACCCGCCAGCGGGTGCGGGTTTGGGTGCGGATGTGCCCTTTCCGCTGATTTTCCAGCGGATACCCGGGTATCTCAACGGATACCCGAGGTTAGAAGGGTTTCCTTCCAGACAGCGAGGTACATGTACCTCGACAGCTGGAAGGAAATCCTTTGAGTCAACAAGGTACATGTACCTCGTCGACTGGAAGGAAACCCTTCCAGCCGGTGGTACCACTCCGGTTGACTGGAAGGAAATCTTTCCGGTCGACGAGGTACATGTACCTTGTTGACTGGAAGGAAACCCTTCCAGCCGGGGGGGTACATGTACCTTGCCGGTCAACTGGAAGGAAATCCTTCCGGTTGACAAGGTACATGTACCTTGTTGACTGGAAGGAAATCCTTCCAGCCAACAAGGTACATGTACCTCAACGGCTGGAAGGATTTCCTTCCAGCCGCCTTGCCGGCCCTTTAAAGGGCAGGTATCCGTGGATACCTGCTTGGATACCCACTGCGGCCGACGGATACCCGCTAGCGGGTGCGGATGCGGATGCGGATGGCCATTGTCATCGATGAAAGTTACAAAGTATTTGTATTTTTCACGGGATGCGGCCTCAAAGGAGCCGACATCAGAGTGGATAAGATGGCCAGGAAGAGAGGATTGATAGGAAAGACGAGATTTAAAAGAAGTACGATGCATTTTAGATCGAACGCAGATTGGGCACTGTGTGACGTCAATGTCATTGGTTGTGGTGGGAACTATACCGGCCAGACAAAGAAAACGCTTGAGAGGTTTCAGACCTATATGAGATAGCCGGATGTGATAATCCAGAAGTGAGCCACCAAGAGGAGGAGATGGGACTGAAGATGAAATTGAGGTGGCGGAGGAAGACTTTACCTCGCCTGATGGAAGATAGAACAAGTTTCCTTTATGGTAGCCGCGTCCAGCGACAGAGCCAGTGGCCGTAAAATCGGCGGTGTCATAGATATCGCAGGAATTGCTTGCGAAAACTGCAACCAGGCCTTTGTTGCACATGCCTGCCACCAAGAGAAGGGGTTCATGAAGTCAGGGGACAACCAGAGCGGGGACAGTCTTGTCCATGGTCAGGGGAAGGGACAAACTGCCGTGGGAGGTGGCAAACACCTCGGAGTTGTCAGCAAGACAAACTGCCGTGGAGTCAGGTCGAGAACGAGTGACGGTGGATTCAGCAGGAGTCATGGAGATTGAACATCCTGAGTCGATATTCGCATCGGCTGCGGCAGCGTTTACAGAGGAAAGACCAGAGGGACTGACAACCACCGCGTTACCGGCGCGTTCTGGAATAGAGAAGTCAGATGCGTCGTTGTAGGAGTCGTAGCCGAGTTCTACGACTGTGGTGTGCCCAGCGACGGCAGGAGGCTTAGCAGAAGGGGAGGATTGATTGGGAGGGCGATTGGAGGTGCCACCTTGTTGATTATCACGCGGGGCTACAACACAACACAACCAAAAAACAAAACCCAGACTACACTACACAACACAACACAACACAACACAAAACAAAACAAAACAAAACAAAACAAAACAAAACAAAACAAAACAAAACAAAACAAAACAAAACAAAACAAAACAAAACAAAACAAAACAAAACAAAACAAAACAAAACAAAACAAAACAAAACAAAACAAAACAAAACAAAACAAAACAAAACAAAACAAAACAAAACAAAACAAAACAAAACAAAACAAAACAAAACAAAACAAAACAAAACAAAACAAAACAAAACAAAACAAAACAAAACAAAACAAAACAAAACAAAACAAAACAAGACAAGACAAGACAAAACAAAACAAAACAAAACAAAACAATCAAGAGTGAAATAAACCAACATACTAAGATGTCTTAGGACCAAGAAAATTAAACAACACTGTCTTCTGAGTAGGTGATTTGAGAAAGATAAGTAAGAATGATAAAATGATAAAAAATAAAACCAAGATGAATAAAAAAAAACATGAAGAGTAAATAATAAGAGGAAATGAAATAAAATAATCAAATGAGGAAACCATTGGACTGAGTGGGGATTTGAGGTGATAATATTGAAATCTTGAGTCTTGAGGATATTGAAAATTGAATTCTGAGATTGGACCTTGAGGGGGCCTGTACCATTTAGAACACCACACCGGATGTGTAGCAGCCAGCTCTATTTTTAGGCAAAATGAATAATACCATCAACTTTAAAACATCTAAAAATGTAGGAAACAAATTTAAAATTTCAAAAAATGATGAAAATTGAGGTCAGTCAACGGTGGGCTAGTTACACTAACCGTAGTGTTAGTGTAGCGGAATTCCGCTAAACTTTAGCATAGCGTAGCGGAATTCTGCCACATCTTGCACTAACACTATGTGCACAGGCCCCGAAAAAGGGCCCACTACGCTACACTAACACACTTCATAGTGGTTTTTTGGCCCTGTAGTGCAGTGTAGCATAACAAAAAACCACTAACACTTCATTTTCTTGGCGCAAAAAAGCGCCGCTATGCTACGCTTTTTGAGAGAACTCAAACAACTAGGATAAATTTCTGACATGAGATTGTGTTTCTATATACAACTGATAAGCATGAAATAAAGTTGAGAAGTAATGAGGGACTAGGTGTTTACCTAGGAGTGATACTTCAGCCGCCTTGTTAACATTGAGGTTGCGTTGTTGTAGCTGCAGTTGCAGTGTATTGAGACTGTGACTGAGTTAACTGATAGAAGTTGTTCTTCATCAGTTTTCGCTTAGCTATAGTCTTGACTGATTCGCTCTTACTTCTTTCAGCCTCTCCTGATTGGGGGCAGATCCTACTGAGATACAAGATTGCAGTGAACCTGTGTTGAAGCGTTCAACTGTACTTCTCTTCAGTCGAGGATCTTTGTTGTATTCATTTTTCTGTGTTTGTTGTTCTTACCTGAGATTTGTATCCCGGTTATCCTGTCTTGTGGATTTGCTCTTTGTGATTCTTTTTTGTGCGTTTAACTGTTTGGATTATCATTTTGATTCAGTTCGCTTTTCTTTGTTGTTATTGCTGTTATACACGAAATCAGATACATACCTGATTTCCTTGGTTATTTGACCTGACTTTAGTTCTTCAGTTGCTGGCTGAGATTCTGTTAAGTCGGTTGCTGCAACATGTCAAAGCACTGTCTGTCAGCTTGAACCCTAACCGGTTGACCTGGTTATTATTGCATATGCAACTTAGCTCAGTGAAATTGGGGCTTACCTATTTCACTGGCCGCTCTTACAGTCGTCCTCCTCTTCTTGGAGGAGGCGCTGGAGCCTGAAGTTTGACACTTTTTGGGCCAAAAGCGTAGCGGCCCACCACTGGGTCAGTGTTAAAATAATTTGGGACCACCCTGAGACTTCAAAGGGGTGGACCAGAAACAATGTAGAATGATCAACTCAAGTGTAAGTTGAACTCAAGTTCAGTGCAAGTATGGTCTGGGCTAATGACAGTACCAATTGCTTGGCTTTTTCTTGTAGTGTTAGTGTGTTTTATAATTGGCTTGAATTTCTGGGGGGTGAAGATTTGACCACCAGAAGTCATCCATTTTGAGAAAGAGAGGGGTATTAGAGGTTGAGCAAAGAAGTCAAAGAAGATCAGAGATTACAGAAGATATATTATGTGAACATAAAACTCATCAATATACATAATGTAAAGCCAAAGCTATGAAATCTTCACAATTACAAAGAAAAACAATATGGAAAAACAAAATCAACACATGAAGATAGTCCGATCCTTGATAGCTTTAGATCCCAAGACCTCCCAATCACTAGAGCGGATCCACAGATCAGAAGCTGATTCAATCCTACAAATCAATGAGACCCCCTTCCAAGCTAATATTCTGGGGTCAAGGTCCCTTGGAGGCGGGATCGTGGTCGCTTCGATCGTCGGATATTTAGCCGCTAACATCGGTTGTATCCTTTTGATTTTGTGTTGTTGTTATCAATCATTATCAATATGAATTATTCCCCCAAATAAGCATGAGATTACCATCAAGCTTAAAGAAAAGCAAACATACCGTGTTGTGAGTGCATAGCCAACATTATGTATCAGTGCACCCCCACCGACGATCATGATAGCGCCAGCCATCCGCTTACATCTTTCCTCACTAGCGCAGGCCAAGATGCTCTGAACGACTGCTTCATGGAGGGGAATTTTCGAGACAGCGGAGACGAAGGCAGCCGAAGGAGTCACGAAGGGTTCGGTGTTACTGGTCGTGGTGGGATTAGCAGCCGGTTTGGGGGTGGTAAGACTTGGACTAGGTCGAGGCGTGGGCGCGTTAGATTCGACACCGAGCGTGTTTGGTTGGGGTGTACCGTTGTAGGGTGACGCTCCATCCTCTCCCGTTCCTGAGACGGTCTCCTCAGCTTGTGCAACCGTCAACCGGCTCGGATCAGCCCCATTGGCTCCACCCGTCCCTCCGGCCGGCTGAGGCTTCGTGAAGACTGATATACTCGTCGAATTCCGCATCGCCTCCGTAATCGGATTCCCACCTAGATCTAACACATCATCCACATCTTCCTTATCCGCGTACACTCGTTTTTTCATGTTTAGCTTCCGATCAAATTCAATAATCGATGGTGAAAATAAAATCTGTTGGTTGTCCATAAAAAAGCGTAAATATCAATCGGAGTTTATACCCAGAAAAAAAAAGAAAAACAACGATTTACCATGGCTGGAATAATCACTTCATCGTAAGCACGAACACTCCATTTAACGGTGGGTTTTTGAGGATGGCGGACGAAAAAGGTGAATGAGTTCAAACCAACGTCGCCCTCACTGAGGACCAACATATCCTCTTTGAGCTGTTCGATCATCTGCCACTCCCAGGTGCAATTGAGGTTCAGATCTTTGTAGGGGAAGTTCTGTCTACGAAGCATTCCAGCAAGTACACTAGTGATATCATCGCCGCCGATCGCCAACTGGATCCGGGTATCCGGAAGCACCCAGCCTTCTTCGACACACGATACTGATGTCTTCGTCGCACCCATGTCCACTACACATGCCGTCCCTAGCCCCGCCCCAAAACATGCACAGAGTGACTCCTGTTGTAGACAGATCTGTTTGAAGCCTAACGCCCGGAAGAGTAAGTCGACCATTTCCCGCAGGTACACGTGATCATAGATATCAGGTAAGATGAAAATTGCTGAATATTCCTATGAGTAAGGCTTGTTAGTATGTCTACAACAATCACCAAACGTGCAGCTAAAGATTGATTTACTTTCAAATCTTGTTCTTTGATACCGAGACGAGTGGATAGAGCGTACACCCAAACGGCCTCGATGTCGGCCAAGATTTCGCCCTTAGTGAGGTAGCCCGAGTCTTCAGATGAGTTGAGTTGACCCCTAACGATCGGCCAGCGGACAGCATAATTATTTTTTTCGGGTTCAGGGATGAGGAGGGCGTCATCTCCGACGTAGATATCCTTAGATTCTGGACCGGAGACTGGAGGCCAGACCGTTCCGAGTGGGTCCTGGTCCTCACTGAGTGTTAGTGGTGCCGCATCTGCGTTATGGTTGGCGGCAATGCCCTGACCATTGGTGATCCCACGGAGCTTGATGGCACGCATCCGACTACGCAGCTCGGTCCGGATCGCATTGGTCTTCGAAGTGAATGTGTCCTTAGCCTCCTGGGTCGAGGAGGGCTCGAAGTTCCGGAAGAGTCCACTGAGCGGCTGCTTTCCGTGATTCGGATAGCGTCTCCGGGCAACCACGTTGGGGATCGAGATTGGTAGCGGGTCACAGGCTCGGCCTATCTGCACCGTTCGAGAGCCAGGGTGGATAACGATGGTCCGTTGAGCAGGGTCGTTGAGGCTTGAATGATATGAGGAGGATGGGTGAGACTTGTTCGGTTTGGTGGACGAATCACCATTGATGCTGGTCGCTCGATCATTAGTCGAAGAAGATTCGGTGTTGGCTGGGGGGAGTGTGGAGGAGGAGAGCAATGCACAATCATCGCCGCCGAGCATGACGGTCTTCTTCCAATGTCGTTGTGCCTCCCAAGTCTCATCATCGGCCCGCCGGGTCCACCAGGACTGGTGCTCGGACTTTCCGAATGCCGAGGCAACGTTCTTCCCATTGATGGTCGATAACGGCTGGAAGCCGGTGAAGACGAACGGCAAAGCCTGAGGTTCACTAAGCCCATCAAGTCAGTTTCAGAGGGTGCATACAAAAGGAGACAGGAGTGTGGTCAACTGACGCGATCGTTGCCGGTGCTCCGACGGGGACGGCTGGAATGTAATCTTTCGGGTAACCTTTGGGCATCCTTGAGGAAGACCGAGTTGTTTGATCTGAATCGATTGAGTTCGGTTGTGATTGGTTGTCAGTTGGATTGGTCGTCGTTGGCTCTCATCGACTAGCAGGAACATCCCTCTTGACTCCGCCGACCGGGGAATGCAAATACCCCACATCTCGACACTCCTCAATCTCAGGACAATCCCTCATCATACCCGCCAGAAAAAGCTTGAAAGCCTCCTAACTTCAAAACATTTCATCAAATTTTCAAACCTCAACAACCAAGGTAAATGCATCCCGGTGCGCATCAATATCCACTCGACCCGCCCCGACGGTTGCACTTGCAAATACAGTTCTTGATGTCGAAGAGGAATTGGTTTGACGACATCACTCAACAACGGCCAACGGCAGGCTCTCAAGCAATTCTTGCTGGAAAATCAATGATCAGAGCATCGTCCTATCTGATACAAGTCATACATCTCACTCATGGAAAGGAATGTACGTATATCATCAAACCAATGCTGAGGCTCTCCGGACCTCCCGGGGCTGTATTGCCAGAGTATCAGCGGCGATCAGAAAGAATATATATTCCGCAGACAATTGGCCAGCCCTTGTAAGTTCGAAAGGTCCTTGAAGTTCTTCCCAGCTACAGACTTGCTGGATGAACAGCTTCTAGGAAGTTGGAGGACCTCATATATCAACGATCCAATCCAACAGGACGCACCCTGCCAATGACTGACCACCCCCTCGAGCAGAAGAGAATTTCATTAATCTTCACACCACAGCTGGGCAACAGCAGCCTCAAATGCTTCATACTATGTATCTATTGTTTCAAGTGATGCACAATTCTTGAGTGTTGTTTATATGGAGGACTGTCACTCATCAACTGAACAGTTGTATCACAAGAGGCGCCCTCATTAACATTAATTATCTCACCAAAAAAACAAGTATCTGTGCTACCTATTAATTAAGGGACCCCACCCCTGACATATCCTTGGGCTCTAGTGTAGAAGCAGCCATTTCCTCACTGGAAACATTTCTGCTAGTATTGCTCACCACAGCCCATAGAACTAGTAATTGGCCATCATCTATTTGATTTCAATGCTTTTATCCATCATTCAATGGAAGGGTCACAAAAATGGCTGTCAAATGGCAATATGCCAAAATTTCAACATTGTCAGTCTTGCGCACAAAGAGTTCTCTTTGTAAAGAGAAATACCTGTGAGAATCCTCAAATCAAAATTTTTAACAAAACAACAAAGTGCAATCCCTCAAAAAAATACCCCTGAAAAGCTCATCTGGTGTCAGCTCCGGTCTCTTATGTGACCAGGAGTTGATGGGGTATAGGGTCACACTATAGCCACAGAGGTGGCCAGTGGAAATAACCCTCACCTTGATGCTAGAAAGCAGATGGGTTAGCTCCCTGGGTTAGAGGGGACAATGGTGGAATGAGCATCACCACACCAAGCTTAGAGCAGATCAAAAGAGGCTCTCTTTTAGACTACAGTAGTGACTTAACTGTAGTCTAGGCTAGTAGAATAAGGATAAAGATGGAAGGTAAAGAGAAAAGGGAGAGTGTACTGCTAAAACCCCACTCACTAATATTAAGTAAGGTACACGGGTTTGTATGGCAATAATCTCTGGGGGAAGGAATCCTATAGGGAAAGCTTTCCCCTTAAGTATTGCAAGGCAGGGTTCAGGCTGCCTGTTGGACCGGTGCAGTCCCCTTATTGTTACACTATTCCTTTGGGGGAAAGTGTCAAGATATTCAAACATGCAAATGTGCATGTGTTGACTATCTCTCTTATTTCAGAAAATAGAATTACATATGTAGAATATCTCTCTTATTTCAGAAGATACACAAGAGAGATACACAAGAGAGATAAACAGGATGATAATCACTTGGATAAACACAAGAGAGTATTATCCTTTTCAATTTGATTATTATTTTCATGAGAGAGGTACATTAATTATCCAGAGAGAGAGATAAATATATACAGAGGTGAATCATTATTAATTTAAAGAATAACATTAAATAAATACTTATTAGAATACATATTATAATATTTATTATTATGTAACCTGGAGGGGTTAAAATCTCATGTAGACACATGGACTAGTGTCTCAGTGTCTGACATCTGGAGTACCCCTCAGCTAATTTTGACCCAGTTTTTTTTGCAGACCATGGACTGCCTTCCTTGAGGACATTTAACAATCAGCCACCAGGTCCTTGCTCTTAATCTGATTCAACATCAGGGAGATTGCTTTAGCTTCCAAATTTTCTGCTACTGTATTGCAGGGCTGAAACACCTACCAATTAACCAACAATATTAAGGCAGCTTACTGACATCCTAAAATTAGATTACTTCTAGTTTTCTTCTTTTCTGCTGGCCTTCCATCTTTTTCAATAGTATATAAATCTTCTTGTCTGTATGCCATCATTCCATTCCACAATAATAGCCTTTGATGTGCCATTTGGCAAATTTTAGATATTGTCCCCTTTGTTCTGTTTCCTTTGGGGGGCGTGAAAAGGCCACAAAAGAATAATTCTTTTGTGATTAAACTTTTTTTGCTTTGGCAATGTATTTGGTGTCTTGGTTTTTCTTTGCTATCTGTGTGATAGTTTATTTGAAAAAAATGCCCATGTTCTACAGCTGTGAGTAAATTAACACTCACTTGTTGTGGAAATCAATCACAATTTCCTCAGTTCAAATATAGCACTTGCACTTAACCACCATTTCTCAGTCATAAATCCACAGCTGTACACAATTTTTGGAAAAAATTGCACCAATTTTGGGTGTAATCATTTTTTTTTCAACTTTCAGTTTGAATGGCAAAGAGGATGTTCACATATAAGTGGAAAATTTGGCTTCATTGAAAAATGTCTTAATTCAAAGCTTGAAATGGTCATTCAGAGGGGGGTTCTTGCAATTAAACAAGCTGGGTTAAAAATTCTGGCAGAGGACTCAAGGAGGAGATTGTTTCAACAGCTTTACCTTCCAAATTGTTCTCAGAGCAGTTTGAGCATTTATTACAGTTCATTCCACTGTCCAGTCAAGAATTCTAAACCAGTTGTTGACCAGAATGCAATATAAAGTACAAAATCACTAATGGATTTTAGGTTAACTGTTAGCAATGAAATGTGAATACCACACATTTGCGTCAGAAGAGATATATTTCTCCACATTTTATACACCATTTTGAGAAAAAAAATCTGCTAAAAGTGATGAATTGCAGTGTAGCATCACCAATACACTTCTAAGGGTATTGGATTTGTCAGGTTTAATCAGCAAATGCTACACACACTTTCACATGGATCAAAAAATATCCTGATGTCACAGAAGTTTTGAGTGGCTTTGTTCCCCATTTTTTCCATTAAGTGCTGTGATGTGGTGGTACTAGCCCTACAGGAAGATTGATACTGAAAATACTAACAATGAATGACCATTTAATACAGCATAGTGTAGAAGCCTATTGGCACATCTTGGCAACTTAACCCAACTAGAACCCAGTGAACCACAGTGACCCAGGCTACACAAGGAAAAAACAATATTCACTTATTGAAAGGTGACATTGATAAACAATGGTCTTAGCTTTGTTACAACTCCAGTTGTACTACCAGTGGACTGAAAAGGACCCTTTGTCCTCTGTAGGGGGCTGTAATCACTTACAAGGGGGGGTCAGATAGTTCAGCTTAAACTGATCAAAGATTTTGGTCTCATTTCATGACATGCAAAAACTTGACTCATACTCAACAATGAAGTATAATTAAATTCAAATAATTGTTCTACAATTTTGTGTTTCACACCTTGGACACTCAAAGGTGGTATTGCCAAAGTATGTAAACATAATGAAATGTGTTTCCATTAAGGTTTGAATAGAATTACAGAACGTTGACTGCTTGTAGTTTCTTGAATTTTTCTTTTGGTGAAAAACAAATCAAACGATTCAGTTGTAAGGCCCTGTTTGGCCGTTGGTAATTTGTAATTTGGAGTCCAGGTTTGGCAGGACTTTTTGCAAAAACTTTAGATCGTTTTATATCACACGGTCCAAATCCGCGCCAAACCTTAGCCAAATCACAAATCGTGATTTGCGGCCAAACGGGGCCTATTTTTTTAGTTATATGTAGATTGTCTCATATATTCCATCATCAATTCTAATTTATCCATCCCCTCTTGTGTTTCATGATATCCCAGTTTATCTCTAGTCTGGTTTCCACGTTTGGACACTCTTACATGTCTTGAAATAATCCCCATTTGTATGAGATTTAAACAATACTTTACAAGTTCCATCCCTTATTTAGTTTGCTTGAGTCCACATCAATCTAATTCCCCCTATATCTGATATTATTGCATTTCCAATTTGGACACACTGTTTCAGTTTGATTAATTTTGAATGGCCATTTATTTCTATTTTATTCTGTCTCCTTTCAATCCACAGGTTGGCCACACCTCATACTGTTCTATATCAATTGCAATCTTGTTTCTCTAAATTATTTCCCACCATGAGAATAGTCCCATAAATTCAGACATAGTCTGATCGTTCACTGATCACCCCTCATTATCTCATTAGTTGCTCCATAGAATTTGGGATATTTTTCATTTGTTCACCAAATTATCATTCAGACTGGGTTAACCTTAGTAGGCAGACCTTCCTCAAAAATCCTTCATAGTCACATTCTTTTTTAAGATTCCACACTATCAAAGTTCCCTTGTTACCTTACTCTCCCTAGTTCCCAGAGGGGCAGACCATCAGATACGCTTCCCTTATCAGTATTGGTTTCTTTCAAGAGTAGTTTTTTACCAGGTGAAGCCTTACTTACTCCCATAAATACTTATCTTTTCTCATCCAGAAAAGGATCAATAAAATGATGCATTCAATTATCTTTCAAACACTCCTCATTATAACCATAGTTTTTTCTAAAGTTTGGGGTGCTAGGAGCCTTGTCAAAATTGATTGGAGTGGTTCAGAATACACAATCTTGGGAGCTAATCACTATGAAGAACCCAACACTGGAGCAGCAGCACAATTCCCTGGGACCATGACAGTAGATGATGGACGTTCACCCTACATAGTTAGAAAGCTCAGAAATTCTTCCGGAAAAAGATTTTATGTTTTTACTGGTCATCCCCAGCAGCCGATTGTTTGGAATCCACATGAGGAAATCGAGATACAATTCAACCGCAAGTTTTTAATAGCAGTACTCACTGAGTTTGAAGCTGATTCACAAGTCTTCAATCATTTTGCAAGGCGCCAACACAGGTAGGAAGACATAAAAAAGACTATTTGAAGTCTAGGCCTCCAAGAAATGACCACCAGAGAAAGAAAAAGAAGCTTGAAACAGAAAAATATCATACCCACTGCTCATGGTTCAGCTCCTTGTTCCCTCCCTCACAGGTTGATTCCCACTTTTCCCACAGAACTTTATCTCAACATTCATTGATCAATACAAATCAATCCTTTATCTGGTTAATTATTTTCTCTCATGATTGCCGTTTTTTTCCTCTACAAATCTCATGGCCATTGGTGGATTTCCTTCTTTCCTAAAATTCTCCATTTCTACCTTTAAACCAGTAATATGGAGTTTTCTTGTGCTTTTATTTTCCTCTAGGCTCTGTATACAACTCTCATGCCCATTAGTGATGTTCTTTGTTTGGTACCTGTGTTTTGGTCCACCATTGCTGGAGTTCTCTCTTAGCCTCATGAGTTGAAATTCATTTCCTGGTCACAGATTTATCATCGGATACTCAGCTGGGCTTCATCAATGCTTTCAGAGTCTCTTTCTCCGCCTTTGAAACTTGATCTGATTTTCGGATCCTGATCAAAATCCGACTGACTGGTTTTTTTGCGCGATTCTTGATTTTTCTTAGCAATTCCTATCCACTGGCATTAGATTTCCTGGTCTCTTTGTATGTAGAATAGAGATTATATAGAGATTATTGATTGAGTGTATGTGATTTGAATTTTTCTGTGCTATCTGGGATGGGATAACAAAGAGATGCACAGTAGCTAGCTCATATTTCCTGACAACAGGCAGTCCATAAGATAGACTATCGGAGATCGTGATGAGCAAGTACGATTGGCCAAGCGAGGAGCCGAAGGAAAGAAAGCATGAACAGGCGCTGCAAGTCGACATAGTAGACCCAACCGGAAGAGCTGATGATCGTGTGTCTGCAACTTGCAAGCTCCGGAATTGTCCGAGGCCGGCAGATGCCGCCACGAGAACTCCGCAATGGCCAATGAAAAAAAGACCACTGCCGAAGCCCGTTCGGTCGAGTCCGACCTCATTTTTGATTAGAGTGTGTATGGATTCGGGTTTCATGTAGCAGGCACCAAGTTGGAAGGGTATTGTACCCTTCATAAGAATGAATCGGCTGTTACTGACTTCGTTCTTGTATAATTCAAGTGCTAATCAGAGGCCAGTAAACTGGAACAAGTCCTTCATTTTTTTTTCTTTAAATTTGACGATTACATTAGAGTTAGAGGGGTGGGGGGATTGGAATAGGTGACCACAAGCAGGGTAGGTTTTATGGTTATACAACATCCTTGAGAAGATAGAACCGATAGAGAAATGAAAACGGAAAAAATTTAAGCCATATATCTAAACAAGCCAAGTAAAGTAAACAACAGATCTCCGTATGTGCGTATGTGTATGTGGAGCAAAAAAAGTTGGTGTGAGCAGGGTCGTTTTTGTTGGATTAAGCAAGTGAAGTGATTGCTTTTTTGTCGGTCGGTAAACCGGTGATTGGATCAATTCCGTTCCTTTTTAGATGGCGCTGATGACGAATAAGTCGAGCCTAAAAAAGGAAAGACCAGCACTGAGAATAAGCATTTGATATCCATCTATGAATTCACAGGAGATAACGATTGTCAAGGAAAATGCAACGAGACGTACCTCATCAAAGGTGCAATTTTTCTGCAACATAATTCGACGAACTTCGTCGATATCTAGTTGACGATGGTCATCCTGAGAGAGGTTGTTATTGATACTGAATTCGCTCGACTCGAAGCCAGCCAATTGAGCCGACTCAAAATCTGGGACTCTATTTTTTTATGAAATTAAAGACAAAGCGAGTATGTAAATTTCGAGAAGGGAGAGAAAGTAGCTGGGTTCGACATCAAAATTGAAATCCACTCAACGGTGCATATTGTGCGAATCGGGATTGGAAACTGGGAGGCAGATATGCTAGGATCCTGTACCGGAAATGAAAGATCACTTTTGTTTGATTTTTATTCACAGTTATCGATTGATTGAAGAATAATCATCATCAGTCAATGGAAATCGAGAGGGAGAGAAATAGCGAAAGGGCTCGCTCAACAATCAATACTCACGAACACCGGTAATAATGAACAATCCAGAGAACGAGATCCACGGAAATGAGATCCAGGGGAATCCCATCTTGATTGTGAGTGTGGAAGTTTGACCGAGGGAGGTTTCGTTTTGTGTTTTTCTTCCAAATGATTTCAAGCAATGTATGATTTCAGTCGGATATATGGCGTTCGTCCTATTACTTCAATAGCCTATGGTTTTTGCGGGTGGTATGGGATGACTGAGTGAGGGGTTTCCAATCAAGCCAAGATTGTAGGTTTATCAAGTTGATGGTAGTGTTCGGGGTGGGATGTTGTTTCTTGCAGGCCTGGCTGTGAAGTAGGGATCCTTGTAAGTCTGATCCTGGGTGTTTCTGTGTTGAAGAAGGGTGGTTGAACTTGAAGAGTGGTGGTGGTGGTGCTCGGTCTCTACACCCAGTTGGCCTGGCTGTGAAATGGCTGGAAGATATCGTAGGGGGGCGATCCGTAACCCCGGACCGGAGCCGGATCAGCCGTGATCGGATCAAACGATTCTTCCAAAACTGTCTCTGTTCATTCCCATAGAGCCAACCCTTTGGCGGACCAAACCCCAATGATTCCCTTCGATTTGACAAAGGAGGATCAATGTCATCATGTGTTGATGGTAGTCAATGGCAACATTTCATGCACAAAATATCAAACACTTCAACTCAGAGGGTAATAAAAATTTAAAAACTGAAGATGTGAGTCATTGTACTCATAGGTCTGAATGGCTTCAAAAATTGGATTGTTGATTGGGATTTTGATCAATTTTAAGTCCTACCAATTAATATGGTTACATTTTCTGCTTGCTTGACAATTTCATCTACTAGATCCTTGACATCTCATTTCCTTCTATCCTTGTAGGAACCAAATCTGCTCTTTTTCTATTTTGATTGTAGAGTAGCAGATTAGTCAAGCAGCTGCTGGGAACCTCCTCTCCTCTATCTCTGCTTTCCTGGGTGTTGGTGGTTACTTGGAATTTCCTCGCATTATTGTATCTTCTGCATCCTGGGCAAGTTTTTTGTCCTCAAGTTCTACCTCAAGCACCTACTATGTTCAAATCACTCAGCTATTTTTACAATGCAACAGAATGGGCATTCTTCCAAGCCATCTTTCAGCCCCCCCCCCCCAATACAGATCAATAAAAGAAGAAGGGAGGGTGTTTCAAATAGAGAGTCAAATTGTGATTTAACCTGCTTTCCCATAATAATTAGTAGCTAGCACATTCAACTTGATACTTTCAGAATTCCCTTTTTTTGTTCATGTTGATATATTATTAATTTCCTAGTTTGATTCAGTTGTATGAGATCACCAGTGACTTCGGGGCCCTGGATCTGAATTCACGATGTACATTCTTTCTGTGGAAATTTCGTCCTTGGATTCCAGAATCTGGTCTGTTTTGCTTTAACTGCTTGTTGTTACTCGCTGTTTGCATAAGCGCCGCATTTCAAGATTCAATCTGTGTGTACTTTGCTTAATGGGAATCGGATCAATTTCGTGGCCGGAGCTTGGTGTGTTGAGAGCTAGCAATTTTTTCTGAAAGTCTCCGGCCGAGGTGCATGTCCCTCTTAATTCAGATGTTCGTTCAGACTCAATTCTACATTCAGGACTACATTCATCCATCAATCAGGCGCAGACCTTGTTGAGCAGTCGGGAAGTGCGCGGGTTTGGCAGCCATCGCGTGCCAAGTGTGTTTGCTTGCCATCCAGATCGACGAAGCCATTGACTTCACTTCCGGTAGAACAATTCGCGAATGATTAGTAGAAGGGACGTATTTATGTGCTCAAGTCTGAATATCGCCAGTGCCATGGGGGTGAATTGATGTCATCCGATTACCCTGAAATGAAAATTAAGAACAATGAAATCGAGGGAATTATCCTCAGCTACCTGGCCTTCCAGATCCAGTCGATGTGTTTCCGCGACTTTGCTAATCGGCAAAACTTTCATCCATTCAGCTGAGGCCTCGGATGGACTGGTTAATTCTTAAGCAGTTATAGACCCTCTGCATGTTCTTTGATAAGAGCTGAGCTTCAAACTCGGCTTTGGACTTCCTGCTTTCCAGTGGTCATCCAAGCTCCAACTCATTATTCTGCATAGGGCTTATTCGATTCAATCATGCCCTTCGTCCAAGTATCAGCTAAAGTACAACTTCATTATGAAATCAGCTATTGTGAAAGCGGCGGTTCAGAAAGCTCTCTCCGACCCTGGCTGATGATAGTCCATCCTCTGTTGATGGATAGCTCTTACGTCAAGTCTTTCTCCGACCAGTCAGTGATACGAAGCTCTTTTAATCAAATCTTGTTTGATGCTCGCCACCACGGTCGTAGCAAAAATCCCCCCTCTAAGGCTATCGATCTATTCACACTTGCCGCCGATTTCGCTATTGGTCTCGAGAAACTTCAAATTCCGGCTGTTCATGCTCTTGGGACCCATTGTTGGTCGTCTGAGATTCTGCTGAGAATGGCGGCTGTTTTTCCGACCAAAGTTATCAGTTTATGTCTTTGTAGTATTCCACCACCAACACTGTAAGCTGAAAATCACTTTCTTTGGGTTTTTGTTGATGATAAATTTCAAGATGAAGGATTTTCTGTTGAGCCTAACCCAATCCGATACTTACTACGCACTTTTCTTGTTTCTGACAGCGAGCCATACATTGAACGAGCTTTTCAGGAATGCTTTGACTCCTGTGCATACCCAGAATCAGTAGAGGAATGGGATGAAGGTTCGCCTAATGAATTAAATCGATGACCACAAACCTGTTTATATCAAGCTTCGAGCTACTTCAAGAGAATGCAAGTCGGTGGTCGTTTAAAACTGAGTATGATACTTTTACCCAGGTGTAGGTGCGGTGCAATGGTTTAATTTTGGGGATCCTTCCCTAATTGATCGTGACATCCTGGACGAATGGGCCAGCGTTCTTGTGCGCCGCATTCCGCCTAGCCGCTCAATTGACTGCTGTCTCTGCGTTTGGCCTTTTTTAGGAGCGTGCAAAGTTTCAAAAGTGAGATCCAAGTTTGTTCAAGTTCGACCCAAACCATAACAAAACTTACCAAGTAACCTTCTTTCTTGCAAGCCCGACCACATTCCTGACGGTTTGAGATCAGAAATAAAACTACCCATATTAATTCTCCGGGTGAGCCATTACTTTTGAGTTCCATCTCCTCAAGATTCAACTCATGTTCGCTGAGTGATAGCTTGAGTTTCATAGGGCGCCAACAACACGGTTTTCACTGAAGCGGGATGTCAAGGACGATTAAATGAACTGCCTGCCCATGAGCATAGCAAAGTAAAAACCATAGAAGGTCAGGCGACCAGTTGACAGGCTGCCATTCATTTCCAAAATCGAGCCATGCAGCTGATTTGGGTATGCTACACTACTTCTTAATCCCCTAACCCTAGATGCTCCTTTACTTTGTACCAAGACTCATCCGAGGGAAACGGCAGTATGTTACATGGATTGGGTTAAGGAAATTTTAGATGGAAAGTACAGCCAGAGCATGCAAGCACAAAATTCTACTTGCTGGAAGTCGAATCTGGAGAAGCTAGCTTTATACTGCAAGAATGAATCAATTGTCGAGCGAGATCCATTCCAAAGTGATAGCTATAATCGAAACACTAAGGAAGAAGTAGAATTTTTCGGTAAAATCCTTGCGGATTTAAGCACACATCAGGTCGAAACGTTCTCGCTTTTCGGTGGTAGTCAGTGATCCCATGTCTATAAATATCAACCTTGCATTGAAGCATCTTCCTGATTTTAACTTCAGGAGCACCCGAGCGTTGGACCGGAGCGAGCTTCAAAGAGATGGTTCCATGGAGGTTAGTCATGTTAAGGCTAGTTCTGAGTTACCAATTAATCAGGATTTAAAAAACTCAGTTGATCTCGATTGTAGATTTTCTAGTCGGTTTGATGAGGCAAGACTGTCGGCCCAGGGTCCGGTGTTGCAGCACTCAAAACACGATTGCGAAGTGGAAGAAATACAAATCAAAACTTCGGTAGAAGTGTGCTCTCAGGACTTGGTTGGACTATGATGCTTAAAGATTACGTTCTTGGCCGATTATCCCCATAGGATTACTCGCCCTGCTACACTTTTTGAATCCAGTGATCAGGATTCAAGCGGGGCAATTAATCAAAATTCAGCTGTTGTGGACTTGAATCATGTGGAATACATATAAGTTATTTTTCAAAACTAAATATGTTGTCATCTTTGGTCCATTCTTACTTTCACTGTGATCTCACATAATCTATCCTCATGCCACTTCAACACTGTCTCTGACATAAATGTCTACTATACCCCTTTTTTGGTATTTTGAGTTTGTCACACATAGATTATTTGTGACACATAACCTTCATTTTTGGTGATCAATAAGGTTTGTATGATATAATTAGGTGATCTAGACTTGATTGCTAGCAGATGTAGGAGAAGCATAAATTTCAGATGGCATCTCTTCCCATAAGACCAGACAACAACCAAAATTGAGGACAGTCCCTTGTATTTAGACAACAGTGGGCCAGTTGTGCTGACTGTAGTGTACCTGCATCAACCATAAAATTTTGGCTACAAAATGAAGAAAATGATGACATTAGAGGGGTTCATGATAGCTTCTTGCGCAAGAAACCACAGCACTGCTGCTGGCTTAAAATTTAGCACTGAACTTAAAAATTTTGCTGAGAAAATTGGCATCAGCAATGCGCCAGCAAGAAAAAAATAATGGGTGCAAGAAGCAAAAAACACTATTGTGAACCCCACTATTATCTTTGGTTAGGAACCAAAGGGCAGGCTGAGCTGGGTGGTGTTTGAGGTGTTTTGGGTGAGGGGCTTTAGGATTTAATAGGCTTTACGTGGTTAGGGCAGCTTTCTTTAAGGAAAAATTGGGAAAACCCGTGTTTTTCACATTTTTACCCAGCTCAAACATCCAACCCACTTGACTCACATGTCAGCTCACATAGCTAAGGCCCTGTTTGGCCACAAATTATGATTTGTGATTTGGCTATGATGAGCTAGACTGATACGGATGACTGGAGCATTGAGACACGGTGCAGTGTCGAGAGGCGGTCGTGGAAGGATGATGCATTTCATCAACTAAGAAAGAACAAAAAGAAACAAGAGAAAGAAAAGAAGAGAGAAAACTAACCTGGAGCATTGAGACACGGTGCAGTGTCGAGAGGCGGTCGTGGAAGGATGAGGAGAGATCCTTCCACGACTGCTGCTCCAGGACTAGACAACAGATGAAATGTCACAAGAAATGAAAGCTAAGAACATGTGTGAAAGCACACAGTCTGTGAAACCCAACACCCCACCTTGCTGAGCAGATGTAGAAAAGAACGAGATAAGAAAAAAAAGGAAGAGGGAAAGACAGGAAAAACGGACTGACAGGAGAGACAAAATAACTGAAGATTGATGGGACAGGAATAGAAAAGCTAACGGAGGGCGGGCAGCAATAATACAGAGGAAAATAAGGGACATTTCCAATAAGCAAACTATGGTTTTCGATGCAATCAATTAACGGCTTTTGCACCAAGTAGGCAACGTATACTTCGGGGACAGAGGGAGGAGGGAAATATCTCCTTCTTGGACACATTCTCTGATGAAGTGATATCGGGCATGGATATGTTTGGTTCTGGCATGGTGTTCAGGGTTTTTCGCCAAAGCTTCGGCTCCTTCATTATCTACATGTAGAGGTATCGCGGTGTCAGGCCGAAGACGGAGTTCTGTCAGAAGATGTTGAAGCCACAAGCCTTCTTTGCATGAGTCTGAGAGGGCTTTGTATTCTGCTTCCGTGCTTGAGAGAGAGACTGTTGCTTGTTTTCGAGACTTCCAGGAAATGGCACCGTCACCAATCCGATAGGTGTAGGCTGAGGTAGAGCGTCGATCATCCCGATCCTCTGCCCAGTCAGAATCAGAATAGCCTGAAAGGGTGAGGTAACCTCCAAGCCAAAGTTTGAGATGTTGTGTTGTGACGAGGTAGTTAAGAACTCGGAGACCTGCATGCCAGTGTGCATCAGATGGATTGCGGAGGTGTTGAGAAAGACGATTGACTGCAAAGGAAATGTCTGGACGGGTACATTGAGATACCCAGAGGAGAGAACCAATCAGCTGTGGATATGGTCCCGATGAGATAGGTTCTGACTCGGAACGATGGCGGAGATTCTTGAAGACAGAGTCAGTTGGAGTAGATACAGGAGTAGCCTTCCCA